TGGGGCGGGCTGGTGCTGGGGCTGTGCCACGTTCTTCTCACCAGGGGCTGGGCTCGGGGCAGGGGCTACAGAGTGGGCTGCAGCCACCCCAAATTTTGTTGTAGCTCTCTACCAGTGCTGCTGTGCACGTGGCGCAGCCCCGGCTCTTGCTAGAGTGTGAGGGGAGGCAGGGGTTGAACTGAGGCTGCGCCGGGCACATGGCGGCAATGGGAGGGAGCTACAGCGAAATCTGGGTTGGCTGCAGCCCCCTCCGTAGCTCATGCCCTGAGCCCAGCCCCCGGCAAGAAGAGCCCGGTGCAGCCCTGGTTTCAGTCTGCAGCTGCGGCCTGCCCACCGCACGCAAATCCAGGGGCACACGGCCCCCATGCCCTCCCAGAGTGCATGCAGCAGCTGGAGCTGCTCATCTCCCTTTATTTTTTTTGAGTGTTAGTTTTTCACAGTAGTGCCTAAAGCACCTTTCTTCCTTCCCTAACATATCAAGGGACACTACCTAGAAACTTGCTAAAAAAGTCATTGTTTCTACAGTTAGAATAGCAAAGCAAACCAGCAAGTGAAAATGTGAGGATGCCAAGGAAAATGGTATAAACTCATGAAGCTATACAAAATGTAATCCACTGTATTTCCTCATCCTATTCATTTTTCTAAAGCAATATAAACATAAACTAAGTAAATATAAGCCAAGACAAAAAAGATTTTCTTCTGCCGCATAAACAATACTAATTAGAATATATTATGAAACCTGGGGGCTCCCAAATCCAAAATTAGGAACTAATTTTATGCTCACAAGTGTGAAAATTATGACTAAGTGTTACTGTGTATACTACAACACTAATTTTTCATTGTATTTTTGTATTACCCATGTCAAGCTTCAACCAAGTTCTATAACCAAACAGTGTACATCTCAAATTTGGTTACTATTGTCTTTAACTGTCTAACTCAATAGTGCACAGCCTTTTGGTCCTGTGGGCTAGATAATGGATAAGTGGCATGGGGCTAATCAGCAGGCTGGATCTCACATGTAGTTGGCACACAGGGTGAGTCCACAGGTGCAATCTAGTGTAAATCCACACACCAACTCCAGCTGCAGAGCAACTCCACATGCCAGAATGATTCAGTGCACAGAGCCATTTCATCCAGCCTGCTGGGCTTCTTACAGGCTCAGAAAGTTGGTGGCGAAAGAGCAGTGGGTCTAAAAGCTGTGGTAATTAATGTTGCCACTGCTCCCCCATAGCCAAATTTCCATATTGCTGGGAAGTATCCATGGCCAGGTGACATGGCCCCACAGGCTGGAGGTTAAGCACCACTTGTCTAACCTGCTTGAGTACAATATAAAGCCTTTTATTAGAAGATGGTACAACTTCATATCCACAGGTAATTTCAAAAGTAAACAAGGTTAACAAGAAAATACAGCTTTCATTCTATTGTGTAAAAATCATTATTCTACAGATGCTTCTGCAAAGACTGGGTAAAATCCTACTCCATATTGCATATGTCCCTGAAAAGCCATTAACTTGTCCACCTTTGTATCATAAAATCATCTTAAAACTAAGATTTAAAAAGAAAGTAAAGAGAAGAAGTACTCACCCATCTTTTGAGTTAGTGTATTTAAAAAACAAACAAACAGAGTAGAATGGGACAATGTTAAGGCAACTAAAGTACACTCAAGTGCCTAACAGGCTGAACAGGAACTGGCCCACTGTAATCAGCAAATTAATGAAGTAGAACTACTGTGAAAGAGATACTAGCTAGTACTGCAGCTTCTGAGGGACACAGTGTAATGAATATCAATAACTATATTAGCATACTATTAAGAAAATCCTAAAACTAAGAAAGAAGTTGCCTACTGCCTCCTGATGCTTCTTAATGGTACTTTTCCCAGTATTTTGGCCAGCCTAATATTAAACAACACAAAGACACTTCCAGCACTTCCTACATATAAAACGTGAACATGCATTAGTTATAAGCTTTGTTCAAACAAATATTTGTGCAATATCAAGTAACCACAAGGTGAGCTGCCTCTAAGGAAGACTTGTGTTCAGCCTCACCTATAACATTTACTTCAATTTACAGTTCACATGACACAAACACGTAACTGACAAAACCAGGCTAAATGAAAGATAAAGGCAGCGCAACTTCAGTCACAAAAAGTACTCAGGAGGAAGAGGGTTGTGTGAATTTTTCCACATGGAGAGACTCACTTTTTAGGATCTGGAAAGTATATGCCTATAAGGAACAGGACCCAGTTGGGAGAACTGAGAAAAAGATTTGTTTAAAAATGTGTTAATAAATTAGACACCCAAGGAGAGCAGGTGGTTAATGAGAAAACACCCTCAGTGTATGAATCGGGGGAAGATGAGAGACTAACAGTGGAGGTACCTGAAACCAGCTTATAGTCTCTTCTATATCCTTACCCATCTTCGGTCAATGTATCACACGCCTGAGACTGAAGTACTTAAAATGCTGAATGCATTAAACTGTATTAAACAAAAAGCTGGTTGATTTGATGAACAAACCTATACTATTTATATTACTTTAAGTGTTTGGATTTGTATTTAAAACCATCATAAAAGCATGAATCCTGTCCTGCATTTAAGACAATGCAGATCAAATTCCTCCCCTTAGACAAGGAACATCCATGTGGCAACTACAGAAACATTTTATAGTTTCATAGTTGGTAGGGTTGGAAGGGACCTGAGCAGATCATCAAGTCCAACCCCCTGCCGTGACAAGAAAGAGTACTGGGGTCGAACAACCCCAGCAAGGTGTTCATCCAGCCTCCTTTTAAAGACCCCTAGGGTAGGAGCCAGCACCACTTCTTCTGGAAGTTGGTTCCAGATCCTAGCTGCCCTGACAGTGAAGTAGCGCCTACTGATGTCTAGCCTAAATCTACCCTCTGCCAGCTTGTGACTTATTTCTAGTCACTCCTGGTGGGAACAGGGACTCCCTCAATGCCTGCTGGTCCCTTCTGACTAGCTTGTAACAGGCCACTAGATCCCCCCTCAGCCATCTCTTGTGGAGGCTGAACAGGTTCAGATCCTGTAGCCTGTCCTCATAGGACCTGCCCTGCTGACCCCTGATCATGCGGGTGGCCCTCCTCTAGACCCTCTCCATGTTGTCCACATCCCTCCCGAAGTGCATTTTAACGGAGGGGTAATTAATTAAGTTCCTTTTAATGCTGTTTTACAACAGGCAATGAAGAGAGAGAAAAATCACAAAAGACTAGGTCTCCAAAGATCACCAGCAAATGCTATGCAAACCAGCTCATCACAGTTTAGAAACAGCAATATAAACAAAAACAACTTCATAAGAAGTCTATTATTAAAGCAAAAACCCCTGGAAGAAATCACTTGAAAGATGATAAATTTAACATTGCCACATTTATTTGAACAGTTAAGTGCTATACAGAAGTAGATTATGCTGCCCAAATATTAGACAATTGTTTCCATGAAAGAGAATGCATACCATTTGACAGCCAAATTTTGCACCTCGCCATTCTTATCCTCTAGTAATTTTAGAATCATCTTCACCACCTTCCTCTCACTGTCATCATCAAGCTTGATGGAATCTTTCTGTAATTCTGTCATCAGGTCATTTGTAGCCATAAACCTGCCCAAAAGAAAAATCAAACCATTGTGTCATAAATAGCCTGCATCCATTTAACTATACAGTTCAAGATTATGTTTTCTTCATGCCAGATGAAATTTAGTCTATTTAAAACTATATTAATGTTACCAGTCAGAAGTATTATTACAGGGTCAGAAGCACTGTTTTAACTACTTATACTGGGGAAAAAGCCAATTCAAGAAAAATCACTTATAGTATTTCTCATACATCAAGAACAACATTTATGTTGACGTTTTCCCTAAGAACAAGGGGAAGTACAACCTTTATTTTTAGTGTTTACATTTTTTTAGGGACTAGAGATCTACAAAGAGAATAAAAAGCACAGGTTAAGAATGGAATCCATTCCTAGTCTTAAAGCAATACTGTGAATGGCTTCAGATATTTTGTAAAAAACAAAAAAACAAACAAGAAACTTTTCCAAATCTAAAACCAAAAAAAGCATTGCCACAGGTCTAACTGTGCAAAACTAACTGAAGCAAAACCTAACTGAAGACAAGATAATTAAACTGTTTTACATTTATCTTTTGTATTTTCTTTCTCCTAGATAGACTATAGGTTTCTCAGACCTAAAACATGGTAATTTACACATTTTTCAGTACCTAGTCTTGATTTCCCATGCTTCTTTGGAGAAGACTACCAAATTCTGTTTAATTATGATCTGTGGGCCAGAGTATATAGAACTCAAGTGAAGAGAGCGGTATTTATTTGTAACTAATCATTTAGCAATTTGTTTTATGTCCATTCATTCCTGCAAAAATTACCTGTTAGGACCCCACTACATATGCCTTATAATTCTCCTCTTTGTCTGCATTTCTTCTTCATTCTGCACTTGCATCTATTTTGAGTTTCAAACTAAGTACGCTTCTATACCAGTGGTTTTCCACTTTTCATTTGTAGACCCCTAAAAAATTTCAAATGAAGGTGCAGACCCCTTTGGAAATTTCAAATGGAGGTGGTGACTCCTTTGAGTTGTAAGTGTGGTATTCACATACTTTTGATTGATCACAGGCATCTTTCACAGACCCCTGAAGACACAGTTTGCAGACCCCCAGGGGTCCACAGACCACAGGTTGAGAACCACTGTTCTATACCATCACGCTACCATTTAGCTACCGAAATGATCAAAACTTAAGCAGCTAATGCTGATATTTGGGCTTTAAATACTTCAGTGGGACTCAGGCAGACATCTCAGCATCATCCAAGCTCAGGTCACACCTGGAAAGTTACCTCTACAGCCTTAAATACAGAGATGAAGTAGAACACACTTCCTCATGCAGTCTTGATTTGCTTAGTCCCACTGAAGCCAATCCTAACCTGGGAGGGACCAGATGAGCCAAAAATAGCTAAATGATTAGTCTCAACAGGACCTACATGTAAGCAAGACCAGGAAAACAGCTGGAGACAAAGTCAAAATTGAAAAGTAAAGAGAATGGAAGAGTGGGATGGTAATATGGTCACAAGCAAGACAGTTGAGCACTTAGGCATGCATTCAATAAAACAAAATCCAGTTTCTGACTACCTTTCACTTCCTTCCTCTAACTCCACTTAATACCCGGTTTACTTCAGGCTCATTTCCTGATCACCCACATCTACTTCCCAGGCCTGATTAACCTCAGATTTTCTCAATCTTTATCCACCAACAACTCAACTTATGCTCTCTCAGTCCAGCAACAACTTCCTCTTCAAAACTGCAAGCCAAGAGCCCTCCACACTGTCTTCCATGTAACATATACATGAAGTGACAATTTAAATCATATACAACTAGGAAAAATAACTGGCACTTAAAAACCTAGTCTTCCCTAGTTTGGGCTTGGTTTTTCATCGCAGCCCCTTTCTTCCCCAGACTTGCTGTACTCAACATGGCCTGAAGAGGACAATCAGGCAGCGATGTCCCAATAACTGCTACAGATCGCACTTACAAGTTTTCAGCTCTATTTCCTGAGGAACAGACTGTGCCTGCTTTAGCAGGGGTGATGGCCCTGTAGTAAGGGCAACTAATAGAAAAAGAAAAAATTAAACTAATCACAAATGATGGATAATTTAGATTTAAACTGAATCTTAATTTTTTTAGATAGGTAAACTGTTACTTATTCATTACTTTTACAAGGTATTTTCTAACTTAGTTTGTTAGTTCTTTTTCTTGATAGCATGTTTACAGCTAAATCGGGTAGGCAACCCCCCACACAGGTGCCAGAGCGCGTCAAACAAAGGCATTTTACTTGGCGCACATGCCTCAGGGCAGATGACAGGGAAGGGGCACTGCCATAACCAGGATTGGATCTTAGAAGTCAAGGTTGCAGGTGTTTTTCACACTCTACCCAAAAACTTTGCTGACCCTGATCTAAACTGTTGTTCTTTCAATGGCTATGTTCTCTGAACTACTCAACATCCTATAGCATCAAAACTGATCTTTAACACAAAGACTTGGTTCTGCATGCAAATACACGACAAATACAATGCATCTCAATTCTTAATCATATATCTTGTAGTTTGCAAATTCAAAGAGGCTAATCAAAAGTTAAGAAATATATAAACACATAAACAGTTTCAGAAAGTGTACATATACCTTTTGACGTGCAAAATACTTAGTACAGAACTTCTACTCCTCAATTAATGCCTAATAAACTTTAACTACTTTTTTCTTTTGCTTTCAAGTTCAGCCAAATATGTCTGGTCTCACACAGGTCATTTTGGGGCAAAATATTGAAGCCCAATCAAACCTGCATTTAGTAGTCATATGACTAGAGCTCTCCAAAAGTTAGTCACCACAAAAATCTATGAAAACTTACTTTAATCACGTGTAAAGAACAAGTTTGGGAAAGGCTGCCTAAATTTTAAAAAGCTCAAGAGATAAGGTTTAAGAGAAACCACTCTCAAGGCTTAAAATTTGATTGTTAAAATACTAGCTTTCATGTAATTTAGAAGGCTATTACATACTAATATACTTTCCCTTATAAAGGTATAGCCTAAGCCTATGCCATTTTTAGGGCATTGTACTGTGAATTAGAAAGAGACTCCTGTCAGTATCTAATGGTGAAATCCAATCACGTGTCCCTAATGTTACAACTGCTCCTAGAAGACACAGATAAAACACATATACCTGTACACCAGAGCCCACAGACCATCTCTTTCCTACTGCACAGAAAAAACACACTCAAGCAGTCTGGTTAGGAGGCACATGCTCCCGCAGCAACTATAAGCCGAGTGCTGAAGTTCAGTGCAATACAAGAGAACCAGAAAGCCAGCTTGTTTTCGTTTTTGTCTAGAATTTTTTAAAACATCTCATATATTTTCCACCCCCTGCAGCAGGAAGCAGACCTGCCACTTTGATTTTTCTGAGATATTTAACTCCAACACTGGACTTTATTTATTAGGCTCAAAATAAGATTTTAACCTAAAACCTTCAAGCAGCTGAACCCTTTGGCTTCCCACTGCTGGCTCCAGGTTTGCTTTCTTTTTTTGAAGGGGGCGGGGAAGGGAGCCACCTTCGCCTGCATCACAAGTATCTGATTAAAGGGTGGCAGTGCCAGGTCCTGCGCCAGCCTCTGTGCTCCCCCTTCACACAGGACGAGCCTTTGGAGGGCTCCAGATGAGGCTGTCAGGGCAGCCGGCGGCCTTTGGGGGCGGGGAAGGTCTCAACGCCTCCATAAACCGCTCCCACGGCGCTTGCCTAGGCCGCGAGACCGCCGTCGCGCGAGGGCGGAGCGGGAGCAGGCCCGGGCCGCGAACGCGCGGGGCCTCCCGGGGG